AAAAAAAAAAAAAAAAAAAAAAAAAAAAAAAAAAAATTTTTTTTTTTTTTTTTTTTTTTTTTTACAAATCAGTTAAACTATTGATTATGGCTTGCTGAATAAATACATCTTCATCATTAGTACTTTCTTCATTATAATATGATGATAACACATTGTTATCTATATTTTGATTGAAATTATGTTCAATATTATTATCATAGTTATGTTCATGTGTACTATAATTTCTAGAATATTTAACATATTCTTTTGATATATCGTTTGTTGTTATATCAAATGAATTCTTTTCATTTTTAGGAATATTTTTAATATTGTCATTATTACTATGTACATTTAGTTTGTTCACTAAATTTTTACTTGTAATATTATCATCATCAACAAAATATTCACTAGATAAGGATAAATTTATATCATTTAATGAATGTTTTGTGTTATTTTTAACATAATCATGCGTGTTAGTTCTATTTATATTAATATAATGGTTATGCTTCTTATCAAAATTTTCATTTTTGAAATTTCCATTTTCTCGATCACTTATATTAGTTTCATATATATAATCATCTTTAATATACACAATGTTATTACTTCCTTCAATATCTTTTCTTATGTTATTTTCATTATGTATGTAATTATTTTTTGATAACATGTTATTATTACTTGAATGATTCATATTATCTTCTCCCTTATTATTTCCATATATTTCATAATTATCATTTTTTAAAACATCTTTATTTTCCTTATAACCAATAAATTTTTTTTTATCGTTTTCTTTTTTACTCATATTATTATTATCACTAGTGTCAGAATTGTGTATGCTAATAATGTTTCTATAATTATTATAACAGTTGTTATTTAAAAAGTCCTTCTGGATGCTTTTTTCATTATCTAGTTCATTATTTATATAATTATAAAATCTATTTTTATTAAGGTCATTTAAATTATTTTCTTGTTCATATTCCTTGCGATTTATTAGTATATCATTTTTATATTTATTCGATTGGTTTTCATTACAATAATTTTTATCCATTCTACTTTGATCTTTACTATTTAAAGAACTAATGTATATGTTATTATAAGAGAAATCACTTTTCGTATCTAAATAATTTTTATTTTGTAAAGTGTTATTATTGCAAATATCATTAGTTATATGATTGACTTTATTATAAGTAGATGAGAATAAACCATCATTTGTATTACGAACTAAATTATATTTTGTATTTCTGTTTTTATTATTAATAAAAATATTATTATTGTCGTTATCATCGATGAAAATAGTATTAATATTGGTATTATTGTAATTATTTATATGTACGCCTTTATCTGAAGAAATATTTTTTATGTTTTTTGATATTTTAAATTCGTATGAATTATTAATACATGGAGATTCATTTTTTACAATTGTTTTATCCTTTTTATCATTAAAATGGCTGCTATTAATATTTTTATTATTAAATGTATCTATATTCGAAAAACTTACAAACTCATTGTTTTTATAAGTTTTATTATCTTCAAAGTTATAATTTTGCGTTTTATTATAAGAACTATTTTTTTCTAATACTTCTTCTTTATTTTTATTAAAATTGATGCATTTAATATTATCGACTGAAAATTTTGTAGTTTCATTTTTACCGTTTTTAATGCTGTCATTAGGATGCACGTTTTTCATATTTTCATTTATTTGCGCATTTTTATAATTTTCTTTTGAATGATTAAAAATAAAATTATTTAAGTTATTTTTTTTTAATGAATTATTATTTTTATTTTCTGTATTAACTCTATTCCTATAATCTTTATCAACAATTACACGTGAATTATTGTCTAAATTAATTAATGCATTATTAATTATATGATTATTTAAATTATTGATTGTATTACTTTTTAAAATATTATTTGTTTTGTTTTTTTTTGTATCCGTTATATTACTTATAATATCTGGTGTATTTCTGTTGACAGAATTTTCATATTTATCATAATAATAGAATTTGTTTAAGTTCTTTTCTTCATTATCATTATTTTTATTCATGTATAAAAATTTTGAATTATTTTTTAAATAAATATTTTTATTATCACATATTTCTGTTATTTCTTCATTTAATAAGCATTTTTTAGATAATTTTAAGTGATGTCTATTATTATCTTCATATTGTCGATTATTCTTTTCTTCTATAATATTATTAGCTCTTTTATTTTTGCATTCCTTGTAATTATATTCATAATCATTGCTAAGAATTTCTTCATATTTTTTACTATTTTTATTTTCCAACTTTTTCATTTTGTAAGTTTTTTCAATATTTTTATTTCTCTTATCACTTTTTTCTTTAAAATCATGAAATAAATCCTTTTCACTGTTGATAAACTCACTATGCATATTATTATTGTTATTTTTTATACTAATCTCATTTTTATATCTTGATTTTATTTCCTCATTTTTTATATTATTAATTTTTATATTTTTATTTGTATCCCCATCTTTATTATTGGTTTTTTTTTTTGATTTTTCATAATTGCAATTTATTATATTTATTTTTTCGTTTCTTACATTATTTTTCATTGATTTATATTTTTCATCATCATACAGATAATTTACATCCTCTGGGTATATATAACTAACTTCTTCTGGTTTCCATATTGGTGTATTACTTAAACTTTCATAGCCTTTTATGCGACTATTATAAGTAATCAAATCATCATAATTTTGAATTTTTGAATTTTCTGTGTCATATTTATCCATATTTTCTACATTTATCGAATTCTCTTTTTCTAAATGAATTGACTGAATGGAATGACTTGATTCAATTCTATAATTCTTTGTGCCATTTGAAATTTTTTCATTTTTTAATTTTTTTTTATCAGAAAATAATAATTCATTATTATTATTTGAATTAAAAGGAAAATTTTTTTTTAAAAAATTTTCTTTATTTTTATTTATTATATTTATTTCATTATCTTTATTAGAATCCTGATTATTTATTTTTTTTTTTTTTTTATAAGATACTAAATTTTCATTATTTACACAGAAAACATCACCTTTTTCTTCTTTATAAGAAATTGCATCATTCTTTATACAAGAATTTTTATTTTTAAAAGAATCTGGATTTTTTAGAATATCTACACTTTTGTCATCATCAGAACTTATAACAATATTATTCTGTTCATTAAAATGATTATTATCATTAAATGAATTTGATTTATTCCTTATATTTCTAAAATTATAATCTACACAATATGAATTTAAAACATTATCTTCTAAAAGACATTCAACATATGTATTATCTGGTTTTCTTACGTTATCATCATTTTCTTCGTTATAATTTTCATTTAAGTCTTTGTAATTATTTTTTGTATCTATGATACTATTAAAATTGTTTTTTTCTTGAGTGTTATTATTTAGAATATTTCCATTTAATGATTCATTTAATTTGAGAGCGTATATATAATCAGATTCAACTAAAAAATAAAAAAAAAAAAAAAAAAAGGTTATAAAATGAAATACGATGAAAAATAAAAAATTAATATATAAATATATATATATATTTGTATATATATGATTTAAAAATTATATACTCATATAATAGTAATTATTTTAAAATATTTAAATGAAGTTCTAGTTTTTTTTTCTCAGAAAATATACCTTGACTTAAATTATCTTCTTTTACTAAATTCTCTTTTTCTTCACTTTTATTAATGGCTTTTGGTCCCTCTTTATTTTTATTTTCTTGACTTTCTAATTCCTTTTTAAGTCTTTCTTCATAAGCTTTTCTATGTTTATTTATATAAAAATTTAAATCGGATGAATTCATATTTTTATTTTTAAATAAAAATAGTTTTGAATTTTTTTTTTTTTTTTTTTGTAAATATTAATATAAAAGGTTAAAAGGATAATTTTATCCTTAATATATATATCTTTTATTCAAGAGAAAAAAATTAAGATATTTATTTGAATAAATATATACTTCTCTAAAAATTTATTAATAGTTTAAAAATTTTTTAAACGTATAAAAAAAAAAAAAAAAAATGCATGCAAAAAATATAGAATAACAAAAAAACAGAACAATACAGAAATAAAAAAAATTGTTTTTATATGTAGGATTCAAAAATTAATTTATATTATTTAAATGAATATTTTTGTTAATTAAATAACTACAGATTTTAAGTCATAAAAAAAAAATATTTTTTAATTATAATAAGAAGGAAAAAAAAAAAAAAAAATAAAATAAAATAAAATAAAGTAATTATAAATAATAAATAAAATAATATAAAATAAAATAATAAATGACACTCAATATATGTGATTGAAAAATGTTAAAAAATGTATTATTTTTTTTTAAGATTAGTTATTGAGGGTCTTTTTTTTAAAAAAAAAAAAAAAACAGAAATGGTTCTTTAAATATGAAAGAATAGTAAATTATAAAATGAATACAAAAATATCGCATATATTAAAATTTTTTTTTTTTTTTTTTAAATAAAATATCAATAATTTTATAAATACAATTTATCTTGTTTTTAATAGAATAATGAAAAGAAATTTCTTATAAGCTATATAAAATACATCAAATTTAAAATGTAATTTTTATAAAGTTATTACTCTTTATTTTATCTTATTTTATTTTTTTTTCACAATGTTTTTCTATTTTTCCTTTTTCTTTTTTTCTTTTTTATTTTTCTCTTTCATTGTCACTTGCTGTTTTTTTTTTCTCATATAACTTCAAAAAAAATTTTTTTTTTTTTCTTCCAGCTAATATACAAAAACAGTGCACACAGAAAAAAATGAGTACTAAATGAAAATAGATCTATTAATAAATTATCAAAAAATATATCTAGAAATAGAAAATAAAAAAAAAAAAGTTCAAGATTTCTTTTTTTACTGATAAGATAATAATTAAAAATATTTGATAAAAATAGGTTTTTGTAATAATATATCATTAGTAATTAACATTATAACGCAAATGAATGAAAAAAGTGCACACAATATCACTGATATTCTTAATTTTTAAATAAATATATTTCTGATAAGATTTTATTATTTATATACCTGAAAATATATATATGTCATTATGAAATTATAAGTTTGCATATTTGTAACTTTTCTTTTTTTCATAATTTTTTTTTTTATATCTCCATATGTGTAAATTAATTTATATTTCTTTTGAGAAACATTAAAGGTTTTATTACAAAAATAAGAAAAAAATAGTTTGTTATTATTGATCTTCACTATAGGAAAGAGGAAGAATTTTTTTTTTAAGAATTTTCTTTTATTTTACATATTATTTTTTTAAACTAAAATTTTAATATGAGTAATTCAAGAAAACAAAAATTTCCTTTAATTACCAAAAAATTTTATCTGTATGTATTTTATAAGGTTAGAAAGAATTATTCTTCAATAAACTTAATAATAAACAACATCTTATTTATGTATATTTTAAATATGTAATCAAATGCTTTCTCAACATACACTTTATTTATTTATATAAATTTTTAATTATTAATTATTTACAAGATAAACCAAAAATGTTTTTAAGTGAAATTTTCGATAAAAAGTTATTATTTCCCCCTATATTTTTAATATAAAATTATACAAACAAATTAACTTAAAACTGAAATAGAAATAAGATATGTAAAAATAAAGTTTGAAAGGATATGTTTTTATTTTGAAAATCATATATTTAAAGAATATAGATGTTTTAATAAAATATAAGCTTGAAAAAAGCATGCATATTTAATGTATACACATTTTGTAAAAAAATGTGATTAAATGAAACTTTATACCTCAGTTATTTTATTTTTTTTTTTTTTTTTTTTTTTAATTTTGTTCCTTAACATATTGAAAATAAAAAAAAAAAAATAAATTACAACAAGAAATTTAAGTTTTAGAATAATTGTTTTAGTTATTAAAAGCAGAAAACAATAAAAAGACAAAACAGATTTATTTATTTCTTTTTTTAATATTATATTTTTTTCTGAAAACAGAAAATTTTGAGCATAATTAGATTAATATATTTTTTTCTTAATTTTATCTTAAATTCATTAATGCAAATCTTTATTGTTATTTTATTTTTTTTTTTTTTTTAAAATTCATTTTTTAATATAATTACTTTTTTTTT